AGCAACAGATCAAAAATAGAAGATCGAACGTGAATCTTCACAAAACTTTGAGAGAACAGGTAGAAGAAGTCCGAACGTTCAGTTGCAGATTGGTAAAGGAAATTACTGATGAAAATTTGGGCATAAAAAAATCTAACGCCTGACGATCAGGAAACGACCAATTTCAACTCTCAGAGCAGCGAAAGGAATGATCATCAAGCAAGCAAGAGGAATTAAAGAGGATGGAAGATTTCTTGAATACGAAGATGAAACCAGCAAAATCACTAATGATGATAAGGGAGTTGAAAACAAAAAAAAGTTGACAAAACTAAAGGTATCTTGTCAGATGAAGTGCTACATCCAACGGAGAACGGATCTTGCTGAAGACAGCATTACTGTAAATTCATAGAATAAGGATGTGAAGCATTGCCCAAAACATTGGAGTACTTGTTTTCATACCGTGCAAAGGAAATGAAAATTCCAGATGATTAGACTACCGAATCAGTGAATCTACTTAATAAAGAAGGAGACAAGGACGATTTGAAGATCTAGAAATCGATCAGTTTTTGGCAATTATCTACAAGATGGTATTGGCGAAGAGACTTAAGAAAAATTCGACGCTGAAGAGCCAAAGAAGCAGGCAGGATTCAGAAATGGATTTAGTACGACGAATCATTCCCTGGTTGTGCAACAACCAGAATTCTCTGCAATGCAGGGAAACAACGTATATCAGCCTCCTCTCTGTCTGTGATCCATCGATTTCCATAAGGCTTTCGATTCAGTCTACATACATTCTGTTCTGAATTCTGTGAGGTGCAAGGGAATCGAGGAAAGTTATAGACTTCATCGCCATGATTTACGAAACTTAACTGTTACTAATAAGTTTCACGTTAGCGAGAAAGACCAAAGTTGATTTCCAAATATTCTTAATACCTGTAACTGTAGTACGTATTACCAATTTGTCGATACCTTAAAATCACCGCACATTACACAGTAACATTTGCAACGTTGTCTCTGTGTAATTGTTGTTTGACATTTAGTACTTTGTTGGATGTTCCCTGAAGGAGGATACAGTCGAATCCAAAATGTCAGGATTTTATGCAATAAAATTCATATGCGGTGTAAACCTTTTGAAGACTATGAAGATGAAGTAGACTCATGTATTGTTTAACAAGTACATGACAGTGCGACCTGCTGAAAGCAGCGGGCCTATACTTGAAGATGTTCAGAACTATTTCCGGAACAGCTTATCTATGCAACGGCGAACGAACTATGTAATATCAGCGGAAGAACAGAAATGGCATGGATCACTTTTGGCAAGACAAAAATGTTCATACACAATAAACTGCTCTTGTGAATGGAACAAAATTCTTTTCAATCAGTGTGTGCTGCCAATTCTAGCCCATGGGTGCGAAACTTTGACATTAAACCTTAACGATATTCATAAACTGTAGATTATATAGCAACATTCAGATATGTGTGGTGGAATTAACCAGTAAAAACAGAAACAAGAATGCATAGAAAAGAGCGCAGGCAAGAGTATGCTGCATCACTGTCGGAATGAAAAGTTACCATCGCGATTGGCAGTAGACGCATCGAGAATTACCGATACGGAGAAAAGAGACATTGGGCTGGTTTTTGGGGAGAGTATAAATTGAAGAAGACCTTTAAGAAGACCACGAGATCGATTGCAGAATAAGTAGAAGTTCGGTGGATGAAAATAATAGAAATGACAGAAGCCTACGGCAGAATCTTGGAGAGACCTTCATCCAGAACTGGATCGATAAAGGCTGATGATTATTATAATGATAAACGCCATCCAAACTTGCACACCATTGTCGAAGTCCTTTTGAGTGAAAGTTGAATTAATGTTATTTATCCTGAAGTCAGAATATGAAAAAAACGGAACTTGTGTTTGTCTGTCTAAACACGGTTTTAGCGGTCATTTCTGCGCATTTGTTGATTAGGAAAAGTTAATTTTTATCTGGCGGTTGAATTAATGGCAACTTTTAAAGGCAGAGTAATTCGTTCGTGCGTAGGTGACCATTCTGAAAAAATGGTGCAAAACACGGATTACTTTTAGGCAGTTATACTCCGGTGCCTGAGCACAGTATCTTTTGCGTTGTGTAGAAGAAACCTTGTTTAACGCTATTTTTCAACTTTAAGAGACTTGACAAAACCGAATGGGATTTTAGTACTAGAGGCAAGTCGAAAAGTCACGCCAACACAGACGATATTTTCAGTGGAATAAATCACGTCTTGTCATTCTCTGCCACTGAAACTGAAAGTGATTTATTTTAGGCCAACGTTCGGTAATCACTGTTTAGCCATGAACTAAGCTTTTAAAATATGCAGTCACCTGCAAACTTTGCGTACGCAAAATCCCTTTCGATACTAATAATAAATCTTTCACCTCAACGTAGGAAATAGATGCTCGTCTGAAATTGATCTATTCCAAAATTACGTGTTATGCTAGTGAGCTTGCATATTTCCAAATTTTGGTCAGATTTCTGCTTTTCATAACTCTAATACTTTGGCTTAGAGATAAGTTCGTTCAACCTTTCGTGGTGCTTACTAGTGTCCTGAAATTATTTTCGCTGTGTGTCTGACAGATGACTACTATCAACTTCTTTCCAGTTCAGAGTTTATGCTATATACAGCAATTAATAAAAACAGACGCTTAGGATAACGGTCTGCTGAACACGAAGTTGCTACAGTATACATATCTGACTACTAATGACGGCACATCTCGATATTTTTGGTAGCCTTGTTGATGCGTAATTAAACAGGAACTGTTGGGCCTATGTATTTTCAATCTTGAATTAATATGTCCAAGTCGTCGAAAATGAACGCAAAGCTTGATCAGGAACGTGACTCAACTGTCCACATTTTTCTTTGTCTTCTAAATGATTAAAGTCAATAGTCGACGTTCAATTGTCACAATAAAAAATATCGATTGTGCTTGCAATGAAATTCTTCACTTCAGAATTTCCTTTCCATTTCTTGTTATTGAGAAGCCATGTTAACTGACTTTCATCTAGCACAATCAGACATATCGGTTGGGTTAAATCAAATGCGACAGAACTTAAGTAATTAGAAAATGGTAGACAGTACAACTAATATCTGGTGAGGATTGAACCAACGCAAAGTTGAAACGAGGCGTGTGGCATTTGCATTAACAGAAACGCTCAGTAGGGATTGTGTGCCTACACCCTAATCTGGCGACGTGTGCGTCTCCTACAGAAACCGCCTCTGCTCTCAACGTCTAAATCCCTTTACTTCGTATAACGGTGAATTGCGGCGCCCCGGAACACATAAAATTAATTACTCCATTCCGCGTTTCAGAAAATAGCCACTGCTTGCTTTGTTCGCAGTCACAGCGAACCAACGACAGTGTCTAATTAATCAGACTTAGAGTTGGTTTCAATTGCGGCTAAGTCTTGAAAAACAAAATTAATTCGCGGAATTCGCATTACTCTCTGATTGCTGACACGGAAAACTAACCAAGCGCGTTACGGTGATATCGTAAGAAACAAGCAATTAGACGTGCACACGCAACAGCAAAGTCGATGCACGTCCGCTCGCTCGCCGGCCAAACTGCGTCGCTCTGGTTCGACGACTTGCCGAACGACCACAAGACGGACCGACGCCCACACAACGCGTTACCGTATACATACAGTATCATTTTACAGGCAGAAAACCGGTTATCAAGCGAATGAGCGGTCGCTGCCACATCTGCCGTTACGACCGTTAGCGCAAAGTATCGTACTCTACACTGGTGAGGATATGTTTTCATTGTTGTGAATGTTGTATGCACTATGAGAAAGGGCAAGACGATGAGAAACATAAGGGCAGAAACGCTTGACTTTTAAAATAACCAATCTGCTCGATCCACCTGACATTTTGCGGTATATTTTACGTTGCATTCTCATAATCAAGCACCTATTATAGGAGATGGTTCAAACGCGATGCTTTGATCGATCGAGAAAATCGACGCGTTCATCCATTTTTCTCACGTCACAGAATCCTTGTCGTCCTATCAGGTCGGTGCGTGACTCGGTGTCAACTTGTGTCAGTAAACATCTTCGATCTAAGTCGATGCCCCAGCCGCGCACATGTGGCCGTCCACCGGCTGACCACTGATCTGCTTGCTTCAGATGGACGTCGATCGTCATCGAATAGCCTTCTTTCCGATCGGATTGAGGCTCGCTTTAATCGATAACTGACTGACCGAGTAACTGCTTACTGCCAACTTCAAGACGTATTGGCGGAAAACTATACCGTTCACGGTTCCAAAGTGCTATTTGAAATGTTTAAGTGTTATCGATTGGAAAACTGCCACCGCGCTTTTCGTACCTCTTGTCTCGGACATATTTGTCTCATCAAAAGTGGCATGAAAAATTGCCGATAAGTAAACGAGGTCGAAACCGGCGTACAGAAAAGGCATTTGCAAAACACAAAACGGTTCTTTCTGTTGCCTGCAGAGAGACAGCAAGAGACATTACAAGGAACAGAAAGCGATTCATTTGCTTTCATTTCTGATTAGGGTTATTCAAACATTGCCAGCCACTGCTAATTCGTGAAAGCCGTGCAAAAGCCATGACAACAGATGCGACGGAAGCAATATTTCTCGTTCACAGCCACGCTGAGGAACATTTGACTGCGCTGGCGCCTGTACACGATCGCTATATCTCATTTGTGATAAGTTCGTCAAGAAGTCACGCTTACATGCAAACAAT